ATCATGTTACTATCTTCCTGCTTCGGTTTCCAAAGTTGGCACAAACTTTTTATTTCGTGAGGATGTGGTGAAGTGGAACGAGGATGCTGTCCGCCACCCATGTCCTGATATTTGAGTAACTTTGCTAGCGACGAAAATGGTGCAATCCATCACATGGGAACAGGTCGTTAGTTTGGCGAAAAATTACCTTCATGAGTATTTATGCAGCATAAAGATTTACGAGTTTTGTTCTCACCCCCTTTATTCGTGAATCTTTGCTATGATGTATATTTTTGGATTTCTTACAAGATCTGAAATCTGCTAAGAATCTAGAATCTGCAGCTTTTTCACATGTGAAAACACACGCTTGGAGAAGAATAAGAAATAGAATTTTATTAGCTCAAAAATTAGAAAACTTATAAGTTTGCTAGATCCAAGTAATTTATCATGGTGGCAAAATTTCGAAAGGGTTTCGGTTTGGTTTGCGTTTTAAAGAAATCGGCCAACTAATCAGATTTGTTTGACCGCAAATGTTAGTGATTTTTTCGAATTGTCGTGAACTAGTAACGAAACGGCTTTCTGAGTTTCTATTATCCTTTCCCCTGAATCCTTCCTTCCTTTAACTTGGTGCTTGATCTTGCTTGCTTAACGTGTTTATTCCTGTTTTTCTTGGACTTGATCCATAGCACGCTGTTACATATCCGCTATGTTCCTATTCTCTCTTTTTACTTTTTTTTACGGGATATTCTGGGCATCCTATTCCAACACTTGCTTTTCCTTGATTAAGTCTATTTTTTGCTCCTGCTACACTTTCTGCTTACTTACCTATATTTATTCGATGCTTTTCCTTTTCCACTTAAACTTCCCCTCCTTTCCATTCTGTTTTCTAGACTCGCTGCTTCCATCCCATACCTTGTTTTCTACTCTTTTATTCCAAACCTAGTTGACTGTAGGCCGCGGGAAACTTTGCAAAATTAATGGTATTTCTTGATTTTGGATGTAGAAACGTTTAGCTTTATCCTTCAATTCCTATGGTAAACATTCGGCGAATTCGTGCTGGTTCAACAGATGATCTGCTATTTTCTTTCTTTACCTGTTACGGTTTACCTTCTTTTCTTAATGAT